TATGGCAAGATACACGCACTCAGTATGCACGTGGCACATGGCCAGATGTGTCAGAAAAGCAAATGGCCAATCTACATTATGTTCATGTAGACTTTAAAATGACTGTTCAGAAAATCCCTGCACACATTTATGAATGTTTATATCCCATATGCATACTGTATGAACTTTCGTACAAAGAAAATAAGGAAAATATTCCACCAAGATTTTGCATGTTTCGCCTTATTTTCAACACACACAAAAAAATGAAAAATGATTTGAATAGCAATGAAAAATTATGGGCATCATAGAGATAGAAATTAATTCAATATTTAAGAGATTTACAGAATAAAATCAATATTTATTTCGACTCTTTTTTTTCTAATTCAATTGCCCGTCTAAAATTATCACCTCATCCTAGTTGACCAAAATTACAAATTTTCAATTTTTTTATTAAATTTCAGAAATTTCAGACATGAGATCCCTAATTCTAGGCTGTGTATACACAGCTGAAAACACCCAGAAAGTGCTGTTTCCGGCCATCTGGGGGCTTTAAGATTCCAAAAATTTTCTGGTACGCTCCGTGCCAACCGATGGTGGCGCTCCGCTTAGATAGTCCTGCCGGCACTAAAACCATCCTGGGCAGAACCCTGATGCTATATCTGTAACTTGGTCCATGACCCAGCACACCATGCAGGGCTCAAAATTAGCAGGAGCAGGTAACTCAAAAGCACCCCTAAATTATGGAAAAAGGGGCACGTACTAGTGCGAAGGTGTTTCTATTCTTGCCATGAAAAATACCTGAAATGTTTTACACAGATCACCCTTGTCATGGAACCACAACATGAGTACAATTTGTTTACCATGTCACCGAGTGTGGCAGGCTCTCATGAACCACAACATGAGTACAATTTGTTTACCATGTCACTGAGTGCACCAGGCTCATATGCATGCATACACACACGGCGTGTTTCGTGTGCCACATGCAGCCAAGACACTGAACAGTACTGGAGTACATATTGCACGGGACTGAATCTAGTGTACATGTTCAGTGAATCAGTGATACGTATCTGTTGTGCGGCTAGCTTGAAGTGCAAACCTTGAGTGTAAACAGCACCCTGGGTCCATCTGGTCATCGTGTTGTGATTGGCAGTGGGACTCATTACAGCCGTTCGTGCGTGAGTGGAAGTAGTGACTAACAATCTTTGCTGTAACTTGCAGTAGCACACATTTCGCTGTGAATTTACACCTTGCAATAAAATCTCTACATTTGCTTTCGCCAATAGAGTTTTTTGACAATTGGTATGCGGCGCGCAAAGTTACTGGGTCATGCATCGTGGTGCAGGTTTTAAGTGCTTTATGTGCATCGTTTTTGTATGAGCTTTCAAACAATTTTTGGACATTAACTTATCAAAATCTCAATGCAACACAAATGTATAATTGTGACTGGCTCTAGAATAATTGGTACTATGTCACCAGATTTAGGTTATGAGTTTTTGATATGGCTGGATTGTGTACATCACAAGCTACAATTTGATATATGAATGACCCCTGTAGTGTGCTGCGTTCTGGAGATATACATGTATAGACATTTGTATATCCACATTTTCAGATTCAATAAAAGCCCTTTTCGAGAAAATGCTCATGAAGTGTAGCACTTGGAAACACAATGCTATATAGGATTTCTCACTGAATGATCAATTTTTCATCTTTATTCATCAGTATCCTTGATTGAAGTCGCAAATTCTCAAAATATAAATATTATAGAAGCTATTTAAGTAAAAAACCCAAAAATTACATTTTTGAAGAAATTCTGCCCTCTCTTTAATACCTATACAACAGGCCATTACGTGTTTCGGCATTGCGTGACTTACCCGCTACATGTAATACCCTTTTTTACATACATGTAGTACATGTAGGTCACAATTGTCCGAAGAGGCTTGGACTTGGATACAGTCTTTGACAAGACTAATCCTCAAGTTATGAATACGTGGAAAATAGTGGATGGAATACACCGTACACCATCAAAATAACTTTTTAATTTAAAAAATGAAAAAAATTCCCCACCCTAAAATTTTTGACCCAAAAACTTTAGAAGAAAAAAAAAAAGATACTACCCACCTACCCAACCAATTTTTTTTTTCAGCATACATGTAATAGGAAGCCAACTGTTATTTTGTTTAACCTTAAGTTGTTTGATTATCTAGAACATATGCTGGCATATGTGAGCGACCGGTACTTGCTCCCGTAAACTGACAAATTCAGCTGTCTAGGGAGCAAGTACTTGCTGCCGTGATGATTAGCCCAATTTCGAGCCCTACCAGGGCCATGTATGCCTGCCACATTTCCTTTTTTGCTGGGTGGATATGGTTTTAGGGCTACCTGTGAAATGTGTTATACATATTTCTCAGGTTACACTGCCACATGCCACATGTAATCTAATCCAGCCATCAGAAGAAAAGTTACATATTGTCTGAAACTGTCCTTTTCATTGTGAATATTTGTGTCAGGACAGTAATTTCAAGTCCATAGTACAGCTTTGTGTTTGGCTGAAAAAAGTTTTTGAGAAAAAAAGAAATATTAACAAGGCAAACAACTAATAGCAAAAAATCTTGCCTCTGTAAATTATTCAGTTTTTGTGTACTGTCACGGGTCAGGACAGGGTAGTGCAGTTTTGCACTTCGTTGTGGTGAGTCCGCCAGTGTTTTATGACCGGATGCTCCAAGGGAAACAGACAACAGACCAGAAATAATCAATCGTCAATCACACTAGTATTCAGTTTTAACTTCACTGTAATATTTGTTGACTTATCTCCAGATCACAAAAAAAAGATGACAAAGTTACCCCAATAAGGTTCTGATACAAAAGACAATTCCCCAAAGATAGGTTTCTCTAATAAATTCCCCGGACTTAGTAAATTCCTAATCTAAATTCCCCGGACTTCGTAAGTTCCTAATCTAAATTCCCCGGACTTAGTAAATTCCTAATCTAAGTTCCCTGGACTTCGTAAGTTCCTAATCTAAATTCCTTGGACTTCGTAAGTTCCTAATCTAAATTCCCCGGACGCCGGTCGGGACTGCCCTCGCTCTACACAGTGGCATTCGGTGTCAGCCAGAAAAGGGGAGCATTCATCCGGCGTACGCGGAAGACACATTTCCCTATAATATTCATACGCTAGAACAATACCAAAAATGTTGCAAAATGAAGATGCGCAAGTTTAGACCCAATATTAATTATTGAAAATTTTTGTAGGTTGATTACCTTTACATTGGCACGTAAATGATAGATTCCAACGAGACTTTATTACAATATAATTGGACTAAATTGCGTAAGGGCTACAGGCCCTTGGGCGGCAATTCGCCTTCCAGAAGTTTCCAGAAGACAACGCTACGGTGTCCCTGAAAAGGCTACTGACCCTCACAGTACTTCTTTTGATGAATGGGGTTTACCCCTAAAGGAGCTGAGGGAGGGGGTGATGGAAGCTGTCTCCCTCCGCTTTTTTTACAATAATACCACTGTGCCTTTTTTCAAACAAGACAAACCTTTTGGAGTTATTTGATAACTCTTTATGACCATTTTGACTCCATTTTAGTGAAATCAAACATATTGTTCTTGTACAGTGCCTGTTTTTCTGAGACAGCCCTGTCAAAAATGTATGCCATTCCACTGCCATGCTCTGTTGACACGTAAACGTTTGTATACCACATTTGGATGAAGTTGAATTTTCACATTTGTACTGATTAGGAGTGTTTCGAACTGTTTCTACATGCATGCCTAGTTTAAAAAATGTTGGGCATGAAACCACCAAGTTCTGGGGGGAATCAGCCCCCTCCAACTGTGAAATGATCCCAAATTTTTGCAAGTCTTTTAGGATTACTTGCCATCATGTGACTTAGTTGAACTGACATTTGTACAATACATTACAGGTGTTGTACCAGCAGTCTAAATTTGAAGGTGTAGCTGTGGGTAAGCGGAATGAATTATTAGCTGAACGACTGAAGGATATGATGGATTACCACACTATCAAAGAGGATAATGCAGTGCTCAGAAGAGAACTCCTGAATGAAAAACGGTAAATATCAAATAGAAATCTGCT